TTAAAAAGAACACAATGGTGCTCTAGGAGGAGATGCAGGTGATAAGGTGGGCGGGTGTTACCTCGGCTGGTGATTGGCTAATGGTTACATAAGCCAAAAAATCGTTATGACATCATAAAGTGTCATAGTGTCATCATTTAATATTATAATTAAATGATTGCTTAACCCTATAAGGCCCATGCCTATACCTATTCTGGTCAACAAAATTCAAAATGCGTATAAACTGTGAATTGCATCTGGTAACGAGTGCAATGTGGCAGCTTTTTACTTCACCCAACAAGGCAGATGTTCTGTTTACTTTAAATATGAACAAAAAAGTTTGCCTCAAAACACAGACCCTGAAATGAGTCAGACACAATTATCTGTAATCTTTTGTTTAAGTCTTCCCGACCTGAGAGATTGGAATGACTCATGATGAATATATCAACACTAACAACAGTAGAAAGTCTAACACCTTTTTTTCCTTTTGTGATACGTCTCTTACGTCTTTGTTGTTTTATCATTGTCTTTTTGGGAGGGAAGATGTAGCCTGCAGTGCTTGTTGAGTGGGGAGAGGAGTGGGATGGTGAGGAAAAGAGGGTTAAAGGTGGTGTGGTGAGACAGAATAGAAAGTGCAGGATTTGGAGAATTACAGTATAGGGTTAGGAGGAGGCTCAACATCTCCTATCCATGCTGATGCTGTATTATTTATTTATAGGGAGGCTGTAGCGCAGTGGCCTAGTGCGTTGGTATTCGGATCAGGGGAGCACAGGTTCAAACCCCACTGCAGTCAGCATGTTGTTGTGTCCCTGGGAAAGACACTTCACCTCAAATTGCTCCTGTGGGGATTGCCCACAGTATTGAGTATGTAAGTTGCTTTGGATAAAAGCATCTAACAAGTAACATGTAATGTAATGTGATATATAAATCTGGAATAAATTATACGAGCAGACACTGAAAAAGAAAAGGCCCTGAATGCAGCATCTGTGCTGAAATACACTGCTCAAATGCTGTATGAAGGTCACACTTTCTAAAGAGCACTGGAACAATTGCCGAGTTGCTTTATCACAATCGTGTGCTAAGCTGAGGTGGCTAGAGGAATAAGAGAGAACTACAAGGACAAACTGAAGGAGAGTCATGTATGGTTAAACCACTGTTGCTGAAAAACGATTCAGCCAGTGTTAACAACCAATCAGCTTTTCTAGTGCGGCATATTTTTTCTCCCTGTGGCTAAGTCATTCAGATAATAAGGTTCCTCTAATAACAGAGCAGACTCAGATGAAGTCAATTTACGATTTTAACACAAAACATTAAAGGCCAAATTCATTAATGGGGGATTATCTGGAAAGGTTAATGAGGGAGAGAGGGGGGGCATGTGAATGCTTTCTTTGTGTTTGCCCACTTTGCATCTAAGTACAACAACTAAATAGTGAAATAGGAAGGGCGTTTTATCTCATAATGTTATGGGGTTTAGCTGGAAAGTGTCCTTAACTCACACTCAGTTTTCATAATCCTTACATTACAATTATGTTGGCCATATGACCAATTACAAGAGACGGCATTACTCACCTTTTATTACGACATTATGGAAGTACTGGGAATCAAGTAAGAAGATACAATTCTGGTGATCCACTTTCTCTTTTACTAAATCGTTTTCCCTCTTGGTTTTTAAGATACAGTAAGGGCAGATTGAATAAAGTGAAAAAAAACGTTGCCGGAATTTTTTGCTGGAAAGAAAATGGGTAGGTCAACACCTTTATATTTATAACTCGCCACTCAGGGCTTCCATACAATATGTATTGATGAACTTTAAAATATTCAAGTTTGGGGGATCCTTTGCTAAATATGAGACAATTATCAGCCCTCAAATATTGCATTGTAGAGCTGAACTGAAACACACTTAATGTAACATTTAGAAACAGTAATCCAAGACAATAAGTACTTATGTCGTCTTTTTGTGACATTCTTATTGGCTTGCTACTAAACATGAAACAAACACAAGAGGAAAAAATGTTTTTGTTTAGTTAAGAAAAGTCATAGCCCTTGTCATAATCATGACAAGTTCATTACTGCTCATATTTGCATACAATGCTTATTCTGCAATGTAATTAACGGCAACATGAATGTCTTCATTATGTGTTAATTGGCTCCTGGATCTAAAATATTTGTGTGAAACTTAAAGGCACAAAGAGGTGAAAGAAAGAGGAAAATGATTGCATCTGCATTGCTTAATGTGTTATGACAGCAACAGTGGAGTGAAAAACCTATTGAGGCATTATGTGTTTGACTAGTCGCATATCGAATGTGGAGCTTAATATCTTCCATCTGAGTGTGTCCCTACATCAGGCATCCAGCTGGGATTGTTGTCAAATGTCTCTATTCATCAATATCTTGTGAAAAATGCAGGCTTTTACCCGCTGATGAATAATGAATCGAGATTGACGTATTAATGTTGTCACAAACACATGGATGAGTGTTTGGGAGCTGCTGCAGCTGCAGATTAATCTACTCTCAGAACAGGAAAACATTCTGAACGGACCGAACATTTGAATCTATTGATGAAAGCGAGGTTGTGTCTTCCAATTTTGTGGAGGGCACAATTCATTCATAATTCTGGAAAGGAATGAATGTGGTCCTAAATGTTTCCAAATTGTGTTAAATTGAAACATAGTTTAGAGGTTAAGTATCTGAATACCCTTAATGCATACTGGATTGAATTACCTACATAAAGAAAGACAGAAAAAGCTACTTTAAGGCTAAAACGCACTCATAAGTCACTTCAGCTGTCACGACTAAACGTAATGTGAGTTACATATTGACAGGCCAAAATAATGCTTGGTTGCTGATGATTTGTGTGCTCCCTGTAGTATGGTGTCTGTATTCAGACTAAGATTGTTTATTTTGTCACTGAACCTTTGTCAGATCATTGCTTAATGTAACGGGAGGTGTGTGGCGCAGTGGACTAGTGCGGTGGTGTTCGGATCAGGGGAGCACAGGTTCAAACCCCACTGCAGTCAGCATGTCGTTGTGTCCCTGGGCAAGACACTTCACCCCAAATTGCTCCTGTGGGGATTGCCCACAGTATAGAGTATGTAAGTTGATTTGGATAAAAGCGTCTAACATGTAATGTAATGTCAGGTGTTTTGTAAAATAGGTCATGTGGCATTTTGTAGATTTAAACTCTAATTGTGGACTAACAAAAACCTCCATTTACTTTTGTATTGAGCTGATCAATCCTAATTTCTGGGCCTAGGCAAACAAGATTAAACCAATCTTGTTTGCATAGGCTCTTTGAGCATAGTCCCTACAGATGGTCCACCATGGTGTCAGTGCATTATAGCCTGTAGCCTAGCATGATGATATGCGGATATGTTTTCAATATGAATACGCATTAGAAATATTAACTGGCATTGCTGTGTCAGCATTATGTCAAAATGTTGTGTGCATGTCAACTGATGTGTCATTGTTTGACTGCTTCAAGGTCAGAAAGCCACTGGAAACATAGGGAAATATTTATCCAGTTGAATCAGCACAACTGTTGAGGTGGCAAAACAGCAGATTCATAGACGGGGGACGTCGCAGGGGAGGCCCTTAAAATAGCAGAATGAGACGGAGAGGTGGAGGGTGAAGGAAGCAGGAGAAACTGAGCGGGACATTTGTAGAGGGCCCAGAGAGACTGAGTCAGGCAAAACACACAGAGGAAGGCAGCTATCAGAGGGTCGGGTTCAGACCCCAAGCTGAGTTTGAACGGACAATAAAGAAATATAAATGCAGAGAGGAAAAAGAACAGTGAGAAAAGCAGACTGCAAAAATAAAACTTAAATAGATAGAGGAAGAAACAAAGAGACAGAGAACTCAGAAGATAATCATGATAATCAAGGTATATATGTGAGTTTCATCTCAAAGCAAGATAAATCACCCAACATCACAAAGGAATAGCTGGGAGAAATCTGGCAGAAAGAAAACATCTGCCTTCAGCCCAGCCCATGAGTTGCTTTTATCTCCGCTCAGATGCAGAGTGAAGCGCTGAGCGTCGCTAGTAACACAGAGAGTAATGGCTTAAGGATGCAAAGAGCTTTACATCATTGCTGTTGCTATGCAACTGTTCTATTATTATAAACAAGCCAAGCTAAAGTAATACAGGTGATAACGATCTTGCAAATGAAAATGGACAATAAGGAAGGTTAGTTGAAATAATGTTATGACCATAAGATGTTCCATAAAGACAGGTTTCATTGATAGCACGTTCTAAGTGCTCAGGGACAGTTGCATTCCACAGGCCATAAGACTATTCAACACCAGAACTTTTTAAAGAACATCCATAAACATTCATCTGTTTGCAACTTGTTAATTATTTATCTAATATATCATATTCCATTTACTTGTAGACTATCTTGTATTATTTCTATTATATTTGTATGTACTTGCACATCTCAAAACATTCTTTTGCACTATTTTATCTGTTTTATTTGTTCTATGTCCTATATATGACGGGACGGGTGGCGCAGTGGTCTGTGCGTTTGATCATCAGATCAAGGGGGCGTTGGGGAACTCCAGTTAGAAACCTGCTCCCGCCCCACTGCGTCAGGCCATTGTGTCCTTGGGCAAGACACTTCACCCGAATTTGCTCCTGTGGGTATTGTCCACAGTAGATGACCATTACATGTCTGTATGATCTGTATGTGTAATGTGTATTTGTAAAGCGCTTTGAGAGTCATTGATAAAGCGCTATAATAAATATAAGGATTATTATTATTATTATATATTCATGTTGCACTGTTGGAAGAGCCTGTGACTTAAGTTGTCCATTGCCATATCTACACTGTAGCTACTGTAATGTGCACATGACAATAAAGCTTGAATCTAATCTTGAATCTGAATCTAAGTGACCTGAAGATATTTAATTGGATTTTAAATATGTTTTTTAAGCAAGACAAAAAAGTGTTGGTTAGACATTGATTAACAACCGATTAGAACATGTTTTAACTACAGTAAGGCTGTTTAAAGGTTTGTCTGCTCACCCATCTCGGGATGTTGCCTTCCATCAACAGGAACGCTGACTGTCCGCCGCAGCAGCTTGTTCCTGTGAGACTCTGAGCGCCGCTCGCGCATCAGCAAAGGGTGTACCTGCATGGAGAGAGCACAAGGTCAGAACACAAAGATACACTCCTGCAGCACTGCACAGAATATCAACACACAGGTGGCTCTTTACCCTTCTCTTTGTAGCATTTTAGAAAGCACTTTTCACAATGTCCCTGAAATATAATCACGGTTCTGTAATAAACCTCTACGGCTACATTTATCTCAGCATTCAAAGGCCAGAAAACTGCTTTTTCAGAATAGGGAAATAATTAAAATAGTTGGTAACAAAAAAAATGCCAAAGGGATGTAGAAATACAGTAGATGCTAGTAATGATCACACAAACATGAATGAACTGATAAGCCTTTAAATGAAGAAACTACCAACGGCAACCAAGTAGATCAACTGAATCCAAGAAATGTATTCAAGGTTAATGTTGGGTACCATGCAACCCACAGGCTAGCAGTAATATCCTATTCTTTAAAGTCGTAGCACATCATTCAACTAAAGTAAAAGCAAGAATGGCTTGTGTGGTATGATACAAAGCTAGGATTCAAAATCCTCAACTGTAGTTTATTGTGTAATACATTACATCTAATCTGGACGAACTGGAAATTGAAATCAAAAGAAAAAAACGAAAAATATATAGAAAAATAAACCCACAATTCCCAGCTCCACTACATTCGGCCCCACAGTCCCTGAATTCATAAAAGTAAGGCTTGAGGGAGAATAAATGGGACATTTGAAACCCAGTCACACTGAGAAAATACATCATACATTGTAAAGTACAGGGTTATAAATCTCAACTGAACAACAACGCTAGTACTTCGTTGGCACTGGGCCCCAGAACACCAAGAAATACACGACAAACACAAATGACTGCAGAATTTCATGATGAGTTTCCTTTCAAAATAACACATTTTTGATGTGATTGATGGTTGAATGCTGGGCTGTTTGTGTTAGAACACAATTAGATTATCTAGGTGGGGCTGAGAAGCTGGAGAGTACGAAGCGTTTTAGTCTTAGTTTTCTGCAGCTACATCAGGCAGCAGTAATTCCATTGCAAGTCATACAACTCGGCCCTATAGTCTTCCTTAAAGGGGCCATATTATGCACATTTTATTAGTATTTAGTGTCTCTACTGTGACATATTTCCATGCTTTAATGTTCAAAAAGCTCTTTATTTTTTCTTACTGCCTGTGCTGCAGCGCCACTGCAGTCTGCTCTGATTGGTTAGCTGGCCGGCTCTGTTGTGATGCTGTATGGTCAACGCTTAGAGATGTCCGACTCCCGCCCCTTAGTCTATCACATACAATGTGTTGGAGTGCTAGCCAATAAAAGCGCGAGTGTTGCATAGTGATGTCACTAAGTTACGGAAGTCATTTAAGAAGTCCAATCGCAGCGTTTCAGGCAGGGGGGGAGAATGTAATTGCATTATTCCCTTTGCCTAATGTTTTGAAATGTAACATGCAAAACATTCTAAAACACATCTCAATTAAATGAAGTCCAGTTTAACACCACTGCACAATACAACTGCAATAATAAAGACTTTGTTAAATTACTATATCTATATATTTTTTATAAAAGGCATATTTATGGTTGAGTTCTTCTGTTGGCTTGTTTCAGATTTTACAGATATGTATAAAGTTGCTACGGAGTGTGTATAGTATTTGTTTTGCTGCTTGTTTTAGAGTTGTTTCTCCTTAATAGCAGCCTTGACAAATGCAGAATTACGGATTTAAAGTGCTTGTTTCAAAGATGGATATTGTAGTCCTTGGAAAGTGAATTGCAGCCTATCCTGTATGAACTGAATCTTCCTTCCTTTCATAAAGTCAAGGTGTCTGCGGAAATGATAGCGGCCTTGTTTGTGTTCTGATACAACGCCGCTGTGCCTCTGAGTGTGTCCTATAGAGACTAGCGGCTAACAGCAATGCAACATCGCAACATAAAAGCGCTGGTGTGAACACAGACTGCCAGTGTTAGAAGGTGGGGCTAACTGCAGAGAGCTGTGCAGCCCGGGGGCTTTGGGGAGAAGCCAACAACAGTGAAGGACACTGGCAGGTCACACTGAGCCATATGTCCCACAAGACAGCCGAGTGCCACTCACTCTAAAACAGGGGTTCCCAACCTTTTTTCCCAAGAGCCCCCCCCAAATGACTCCTGTTGGAAGTTACGCCCCCCCCCCCCCCCCCCCCCCCCACACACACAGGGGGGGGGGACAGCAGTAATTAAAGTTTCAAAGTCTCACAAATGCTACAACTACTGTCACAAACTGGATGAATGTGAAGTATTTTGTTAAAGGAGGATGAAAGCGTAATTAAGGAGCACTATTGTAGTGACTTTGATGGTTATTGGACTCAGGAGTAATTAATTTGGATTCCCGCTGTATGAAGAAATTAAAGGACGGCGCGGAAGTGGAAACAATTCACAAAGGGATTAAACTGTTTAAAACACATGCTCAAAGTAAGCCGGATTTTGCCGATGTGTTTAAGTGGATTCAAAAATCGTAAATAATCAACAAAATGGAGGAGACAACTGTGACAAATAATCCAACTGAAACCGGCATGGACAATGACTATGTTTTAAAAATGCGCTTATCCAGAAAAGCCTGGTTTGGACACTTTACGGGCAGAAGAAACATTTCTATTAAAGAAAGAATTATACATTTCTGTCTTTGTATGCCTTTAATAGCTACTAACTTGAATTTGTATTCAAATTAATTAATCAATGATTTGTTATATTTTATTGTAATGTAGAGACAAGGCTTTTAGTGACAATCATGTATTGCGTTAAAATTATATGTAAAAAAAAGAAAAAAGAAAAGTCTAAATATGATATTTGGCCTCAAATCATCTGAGGCCTGGCGCCCCCCCCTGCGATCTTTGGCGCACCAACCAGGTTGGGAACCACTGCTCTAAAAGGTCCTCTGTTAATATGAAAACCCACCGTGTGTGGTTTTTTTGTTTGTGGGTGCCTGCATCTTTTACTACTTTTTGTACGTGCAGATGTGTGTCTTTCAAAGCGAGAGGAGTACATGAACATTTAATGCAGACACTGCTCCACTTCAAGCTACTAATATTCTACTGCTGCCACGCTATAGCTGTATCACATTGGACACATGAACACAAAACCATAATCTAGTTAGACCAGCAAAGCAGAAAATGCCTCACATCATAGCATCGGGATCTTGTTTATACGAGTCCATATATCCAACTTAATCAGGGACAAGCACCATAAATCAACGGCCTACATGATTACTCTCCACTTTGCTGCTTGTGCAACCAAAGTGCACAAAACTACATTGTAAAGCAGTGCTTCCTTGGGACCAACATATTGCTTGTTGTGATGAGATTACAGTACAAACTGCTTTATGAAAAATATATTAAGCTGCATACATTCTTTATGAGACCAGTTTAAGAATGCACAGAGCGTGTATGCTAATGTTTTCCCTTTTGTGAAGACACAGTCAGAAGATTTTGCCATTTTTCAAGTTTGTATTTGTTATCCGTCTGTCCTCTAGTTCAATCCTGAATTAGATATATACCTCTGCATTGATTGCCATACAATTAAGCTTCAATCATTTTTTGTATACAGAGGAAGATTCAAAATGATTGTAGTGCCACAGCAGGTCAACATTTTAATTGGGCAGATACTTTAGCTTGTTAGAGGATGATATATTATTAGTTAGCATACAATGCTAATGTTTAAATGTTGGCAAAGTTTGCTTTTAATTATTTATAAGATGTATTAAAGTGACTTTTAATATGTGTTTATATTGCAATGAATGGTGTCCTGTTTGATATGTTTTGCACTAAGTAATTTTCTTACAATTAGTTTTAATCAAAGTAATTTTTTTAAGAAAATCCAGATTCCTGTTAACAATACAAAATGGCCCCCCATTTCTGAGATGCATGCTATCAGTATGGTTCATCATTTTATATTGCAATAATATTTGTCCCTGTTGTCATTGAGTGTGTGTGGGTTGTCTCTGTATTTGTATGTTTTAAGTATATTGATACATTTAGTTGTAAACCCCCTTGATTCTGTATGCCACCAGAGGGACATTATTAAACCAGAACAAACAAAAAAAGACACCCATTTAAATTCAAGCCTTCTTAGTCCATCCTGCTACAATTTTCATTCAAGTCTTGTCAATGCACACAGCTTTTCTGTAAGCCTCATTTAATTCTCTTTGCCAGATTAATGTTAAAAAACCACAGCGGAGAGTGGCAGAGCACTCTGTCGGACTAATGGAATATACTTTAGTACCAATGAGTAACAGTAAACCTGAATTAACCTCACATTCAACCAGCTCTTCATTGATCAGGAACGCACATAAAGCCACAGTTGCATACTAAAGCTTTATTGCGACCATGTTTATTTATAGTGTTCCTAAATGTACGTAATAAGCAAAGTGGTTTCATAGCACATGATTAAGCACTGTGCCAGCTCTGACTCCATGAAAAGGGAATCGGGAGGGGAGTACGGAGGAGTAGCAAACAGGTAATGACACTGAATGGTTTAGTGGTTATTGGAGGGATAGTGGTGATTTTCGCTAGGGTTAAAGTAATGCTTCTTTCTGTCCAGATTTGCAGCTGTTGCCATGGAATCCAAATGGGTTTACTTTCATCTACAGTTAGAGTTGAGAGAAGGTTACAAAATACGTGTTTTGTAAGCACAGGAATACCAACACCTTCAACTCTTTCTCTTCATGTACTGAAATTGAAAGAGGGTGCAAACTAGTACTTTTACATTACATTACATTGCATTTAGCTGACGCTTTTATCCAAAGCGACTTACAATAAGTACATTCGACCAGGAAGACACAACCTTGAAGAAAACAGAATCATATAAGTACATCAGGTTTCATAGAGCCAAACATTTCAAGTGCTACTCAACTGGCTATAGATAAGCCAGTCCTTTATTAGTATATAAGTGCTCTGTTAGCAGTTATTTGTTAGTAATTCTATCGCTCGAGGTGGAGTCGAAAGAGATGAGTTTTCAGTCTGCGCCGGAAGATGTGCAGGCTTTCTGCTGTCCTGATGTC